AACCACATTTAGTTTGGATCTTTTCTCAAACTCTAAGTTCCTTTAGAACTACAATCAAACTTTTCTCCTTACCTGCAGGCACACTTTTGACTTTTGCAATCAGGTTTCCTACATGGCACAATGACCTTTTCCCTCCTATTTTTTTCTTTTGGCTATAGCCAATAATAGCAGGCACTAGTATTGATCACCAACACTATGTATATGCTGCAAAAGGAGAGATTAATTTCTGCCAAAACATCTGTAGTCCTTTAGCCTCTGGTCTGATATTTGATGGTTTCTATTATGAAATCCCCTTTCAATATGGACACACAAAGTAGGGAAAACAAATTTCTTTCTGCCTAGTGGGATTGACAGAAACTGCCTTGGCATGTTAAATCTGAAAATTTAATAACTAAATATCCAAGAAAAGCTGTGGGATGATTTGGCAGAGTGGAATATATTCCCTTAGATGAATATTCCTCAAGACAAAAATGTAGCAGTTCAGTTATTTGAATTTAACATAAATGCCAGCCAATTCACCTTGTTCAAAAACGTGTATATTCAGTATTACACAATAATTTGTTTATAAATTATGACTTCAGGCAAAACCAGACAAACTCAAGACTTAGCATTACAAACATTATAAACATGGAAATCTACTTGCTTAGTTTTAATGTTGAAATTAAAGTGTTACCCCCACTTTCTGAAACTCAGTTACCCATAGTAGATGAACCATTTCTTCTTGTGTGTGTTGTGTATAAACAGAAGAATTTCTATCCAATTGACATTCAGTAATTTGGCCAGGTGTGCTGTTGCCTTGTTTTGGTTCCTTGACTTTCCTGTTGGTCATGGATGATCACCCTGGCTACATTCCTCAAAGATTATTCCAACCTCAGAACAGTTACACATTTTCTCCCCTTAGTTGACCTTTTCCTCTATACTTTGCCTGAGAATAAACTAATGTGAAATTAATTTCACATTCTAGTAAGTGATTTTGATCAGGAGGAATTGGCACGGGGTGCTTTCCAAATTATATTTAAAAGCATTTGGATATTTGCTTTTCTGTAAGATGTGTATTCTTGGTTGATTCAACTTTAGCTGGTTTTGACCTTCTAACATTTTTTAGAGTACGCTTCCATTTTTTATACTCTAATACCATTCCCAAAAGAAGTCAATGGTTCTCTTCTATACTGTTCAACCCAGCTGGGTTCATCTCCAAAGACTTGACTCACCCCGATTCATCTCTCAGCCACATGTTCTACTTTCCCCTCAGTCTGCATTCCTCCCAGTGCTTCCTTTCTGTTTATGGCCTCGATGCAGGGGAAATCAATAAAGAATGAGAGGAGTTAGAAATCTGGATGGGTTTCAGTCCTTCATCTGCCATAAGCCATGTCATAAAACTAGAGCACCACACTAGAGTGATTCAGAGCATGAACTTTCAAGTTAGACCTTGCTTTGAATCCTTACGCTGAGAACAGTGATCTTGGACAGAAGACTTAAAATCTCTGAATCCATCAGTCTCTTATGTGTAAATTGGGGGTAAAAATAGTACCTACTTCATAGGATTGTTCTGAGGACTAAATGAAATAATATAAAGTGCTTACTATGGTACATAGGCGCTCTGGTAGCATAGTGGCTAAGGCACTTGACTGCTAACCAGAAGGCTGGAGGTTCAAACCCACCAGCCACTCCTTGGAAGGAAGGTTGGGCA